CTTATAGACATGTCCATGGGCTGGGATCTCAGTTACAACTCAAGGTAGCGATCCAAAGAGCTCCAAATACACAACCTAGACAGAACATAGCTGGAGGAAAAGTGAAGCACGTGAGCTCGTAGCTCTGTTCTTAATACTTTTAAATATCTGTTTGCCTCAGGAAAGGCTGGACTTGAACTTTAAGCACTGGAAGAGCCAGCAAGAGTGAAAGTAAGAAAACGCTGGACCACCGTTACAAGAGACTCAGGTCTAATAGCCCCAGACAGAGGCACTTCCGCAGCCGATTCTCAGTCACAGCTTCACCAGAAACATAAACTGGCAGCACAGAAGATTAAAAACAGGGACATCTCACCACAGGCAAAGAAATGGCAGTCTGTTCCTCCTAACTCAGGGCAAACATCTACCAAGAAATAGTTCCATAGACTATACCACTTCTTACATAAAGAAAACAGTTCCCCTTCGTTCCTACAGGTGTAATCTGCTCCAGCACTATTCCCAGCACAAGGTGAAACCACACAGCACAAGCTGCTCTTAAAAGATAGCGAAGACCCATTTTTACTTCTATTCAAAGCAAAAGCATCACACCAGAAGTAAGCTGAACTTTACACATGAGGACTTGCACTTTGTTAGAAAAATATGACATAGGCACTTGATTCAAAGCAAACCACTGACCTCCACTATTTTATGTTGCTGGATGGTGAACTCTGCAGTGTTAGCAAAAGACGTACTTAAAAGCAGTGCTTACTCCACTCCTTCCTTATTAAGAGAATTTGAAACTATAATGCCACTGCTTATTTCAACACAAGTTGAATATAAAAATACAGAGTTAATTTACTTCTGTGCCATGTTACGTATTGATTCAGAGGTGACTGCTGGGAAGAAGTTACAATAGGTGATAAGCCATAGTTAAAACAGTTACAAGATCAAGATTAGTAAGACTGTCAAAAGAAATAAACACTAAAGGTTTTTTCAAATGGGCAGTTTGTAAGTCTGAAAAAAATTTAAACAAATATGCCTTTCTACATTAGTACTCTTAGTTATTTTTTTGCATGGCAATGACATTATTACTTTTAGTTTTTCTCATATATATAACATTATAGTTCTTGACTGCAGTGTTGTATAATCACTTTCTATTGCTGCAGTATTAAAGCTTTCTACTAATTCCATTTCTGTACAGTGGAAGCTAAGTAAACTTGGTTGAAAACCATGGACATATACTCATTAATTAGTATGACCTTAAATAAGTAACATTTAGCAGAATGTAATACCATGAGTATACAACCTGTAGTATACTGAAAGAATACATTGCTTACCATTACTGAAAGGTATAGTGTTTTTTTCTTACTCACATGGAATGCTATGTCCCTATCCATAGTTAGCCCCACAGCAGAGGACGAGGCAGTCAGTACAGGATCTCACCTCGGTCAACTAGAGTACATTTTATTTAATTGCTATGACATGCTTCCAAAATATTGCCAAAACATCTTGTGAGAGGAATTTTTCAATTAGTTGCAGAGGGCAGCAGTCTCCTCAGATAAGTATACAGGCAATTTCAGCTTCTTATGTTGTTTCAAATGTACACAGAAAACTACAGTTTCTAAAACATCACTGCAAAATCACAGAGGTTTATAGTATTAAGCTGCTAATTCACAGCATGGTGCTTTTAAGTTTTAATTGTGCTTGAATGGTTTAATTATCTTCTATTTCAGTCCAGACAGCTTGATCTACAGTTCACATGGGCCTATCTTACTGCCCCCATTCACACGAGAACCCCTTTGAAGCCAGTGGTATTTCCACATGACTGAGCTGCTTCAAGACCTGCAGTGTACATAGTGGTGTTTGTGCAGTCATGTGATGTAGGGGAGGAACCATCTTCTGATTTGAGTCTGTAGGTTTCACAGCATCCAGGTCAAGATACAGAAGGGATCAGTATCACAGACACCCGGAAAAATCAACCACTTTTAGACATGGGTTCATGTACCTGGTGTAGGGAGCCTGCTACCTGGTGTAGGGAGCCTTCTTTGACAGGGGGTTGGACTCAATGATCTCTGGAGGTCCCTTCCAACCCCTACGATTCTGTAATATTTCCACCACACTGCTCTTTTAGAAGTAATAGCAAGATAAGCCATGGGGGAAGTAGCACATCCGGGGCCACCAGAGAAAGAAGTGAACTGCAATGATTTAGAAGAGTCAATGTTCCACCTTAATGGAAGACCTATAAAATACCAAACTACCAGAGAGAAACAGATCTTCCACAGGTTTATTAGTTTTACAGGTCTTATAAAAATTACCAGAAAAATATAAAACTATAATAGTTCAAGACTGAAAAGCTTTCATGAGCTTAAGCTCAGCCTGTTCAGATCACAGCATAGCTACACCTCCACAGCTGGTATGTGGCACACTAGCTGCAAAACTGCTTTTGTTTAGCTGCCTTCTGAGCTCACACAGGATCTTGTATGTAGGATTTCCCTTCATAAAAAAAAAACATGAATATATTTAGAACTCTGCATATAGTTGACTTGCAGGTTCTCTCTTAGCCACAGCATGTCTGATGATTTTTAAGTATTAATGTTGAGGACTGAACCATGAAGCTGATGAAACCACTGAGGATTATTACAGTAGAAACAGATACATTTATTTTCCTACACTGCATACTCAAGAGGCTTATCAAGCATAATTGCCAGTCAGAAGAATCTAGTTAAGAATTTGTGTCACTTCCTGATTTGAAAAGGTAATGTAAAAAAAAAAAAGAAAGACAAGACTCAAAACACAGGAGACTCATTGTTATGTTAGAAGATGAAATAACAGCTCTGACATTTAGTCTTGCAACCTCTCAGACTAAGTCTGTAACATGTGCCATATCCAGCACTTAGCAGATACAACAGTTTGCAGAGCTCATAGCCAGAGAAAAACTAAGTTGCATGTCACTTATAGCCATTCTCGGATGAGACAATCAGACTGCTGTTGATGCTAATGTAGTCACAGCTAGCTGGAGCGCAACTATCATGCTACTAGCACTGACAGTCCCCTTTATTGAGTAGTCCACATAGTAAGTAAGGATGTTTTCTGTATAGAATGCACAGGTAAGTCTCTTGAGAGCTGGTGAAGACATAAGCAGATTCTATTGCTTTCTAAGCCTTCTCCATTGCAAATACAAGCACCCAGAATAAAAAATGATTAAGCACTGCCAAGTGTATCAGAAAAACAGAAAAGCCCCACCCTCTACTAAGGCAAAAATAATAAGTTATTTTGGAGTCTCAAGGTGACACAAGGACAGCATTGGCTGGGCAATCACACTCCATTAACTGTAAGCCATACCCAACCACATATCCAAAGCACTAGACATTAAAGACACAGCTATAGATTACAAGAGAAGAATAGATCACAAAAGTTCTTTTCTCCTACTTACCATCAGCTAAAGAGAAAATAAGTAGTATTACTCAAATAGTGAAGAAAATAAGCCCCATAGAAAGTAGATCTTCACATGTGTAAGGAAGTTAAGCTATAACACAAATGACTTCCCTTTCTCTGTTAAGTTTTTTAAGTTTTAGACCTTTGAATAATTACAAGTTTATTAGTGCATGAAAGCAACTGGCAATAATACATTAATAACTAAGAAAATAAAAACTCCTGAATTTAACATTCTGCTTCTAATAAGCTAGAAAGGACTTAACTCAGTTTTGTTAAAGATTGAAAAAGTCTTCAATAAGGTTTAAAATGATTTTACCCTCAGATATTTCCTCCTTATAACTTTCATTCTCTAGGTTGAGCATTTAACACCCTATTTTACAGATCTATATGAACTTCAAACACCTCCACAGCTTGCTTCCACAAACCCAAACAACAAAGGAGCCCTCTCCCTAACACCAGAAGTCAAAATAAAACTATTAGAAACTCTAATGGGATAGAAAGCACTACAATAACAGTAAAGTAATGAAGTCCTCAGCTACAACAAATGAAAACAAGCCCAAATACAACAGCAACATGAAGGGTAAAAGAAAAACAAACAACAAACTACTTACCTTCAAAAGACTTCCAATAGATAGCTACCTCCAGCAAAAGATACCCCTACTTCCATTGCCAGCCCTTAAATGAGGTCTGGGAAGGGGTGGATCCTGGCTCCTCCCCTTCCAGTCACTCAGGTACATTGTATGCATCTGAGCTTTCCTGGGTTGGCCCTTCCTTCCCACCAGGTGCTCAATCAATCACTGGTTCGGGCTGTGACTTACCATTTCCACTTCTGTAATTAAGCCTCACTAGCTGGCTAAAAGAATATGTAATCCTTTCTTATCCATGACATAAAGTTTCCAAACTAAAATGAAGTTACTTTGATTACTGTGTAAAGATGCTTAGGTCTGCTGAATCTAATCTTTAAATACAGTAGTTTACATATTAGTGCACAATTATTAATTTGATTGATTTCTATTGTTTTAAATGGAGGATAAGAGTTCTGCAGACATTCATGTGCATATCAAAGGAATTTCAGACCAATACAATGGAAAATCTGTAATGCATATCTGTATGGAAACTGTTGAATCAAGGCTTGAACTTCTGATTGATCACCTGAGGCAAGTACTGAATCAGCCACGGGAGCACAGGTGAAGGAATTCAGCTGTGTGACTGGAAAGGGGTGGAGCCTGGCTGCACCTCTCCTAGATCCCATTTAAGGGCTGACTACCACTGCAGCTGGCTCTTTTTCTGGTGATTGCTCTCTCTAGGGTTTTTTGTGAGCCTAGACCAGGGGTGAGCAGGTTTTTTTTTTGTTTTGTTTTGTTTTTTATTACCCCCTTTTTGCTATGATAGCTCTTTTAATTTTAACCTGTAAAATACCAGCCTAACTATGCTATTTTGTATATTTGTTGACTGTATGATATCACAGAATCACTAATTGCTAAGTTTTGGTTACTGTTTTTTTGTATTTTTGCACAAGTGGATGGGACTTGTATTACATTTTTTCACTCTTCAGGAGAATGAAGAATTTATTATTTCTATAAGCTTGATATTAAACTAAGTAGAAATAACAGCCTCAGCAAGACAGTTTGCATGTTATTTGCTATGTGATAGCATTCACTGCATGCATTAGTACTCAGTCCTTGCTAATGCATTTAGTTGCATCATAAATAAGCAAAAATAAAATTAATGGATTTGAGTTTATGGTAGACTTCCATTAGGGATTTTGCTCTAGCTGCCAATACATCTAGATTTCCTGGGAATGAATTGCTTTAATCACTCTGTAATTCTTTGCAAAAACAAACAAACAACAACAACAAAAAAAAAACTTAACCATGTGAAAGTGTTGCAAATGCATTCAGATCTATGGGAAAAATCCCAGTTGCCTCTTGCTTCTAGCGTGATGTATTACTACAGTGATATATATCCTCTTATGCTTGATCAGACACTGAAATATTCAAGCAGTTACTGCAGTTTTTTACATAGATAATGGTATCAAATATGTTTATGGTCTCACAGTATAATTAGGTACTTGGAGAAACAAGTCTCTGGAAAGGGAACATCTTTGTTAAAATACAGTTTCCCACATGCTGAAGATGAGCAGTAGTATAACGAAGCACTCATGCACCTTCTAAAATGCCACTGAGGATGAAAAAGCAAAGTAGCTGTCCTCATTTTTGAAGAATTTTGCTATGGTATACTTCATACAAATACTTTCTGGAGATGGAGGATGGTTTCTAGAGAACAGGACTGAACAGTGGATCTTGTTCACCCTATTAGAGCAATGTAGTCCTGGGAGGATCTTCAAGAGCTTGTTTGAACCAAAGCTGGATGGCAATGGGGCTCTCCCTGCTTTTTTCTAACATGCTTAGAGCCCTTCAGCTATGGGAGCATCATACTGTTTCCATGTCACCCAATCTTCTAGTATTTGAAGGCAAAAGATTTTTAATTATCACCTGCTTTTTGCTGTGTTCTGATCCCACTGTTTCTTGCTGCATCTCATTAAAATGTAGGAAGAAAACCATTTTCAGAGAGAGATTCAACGTTGCCACAGTTCTAATGAAGACCTGTACTAGACACCTCTGTGCAGTGTTCCAGGTGTGCAGGCTGAGCAACTCTCCAACTTATTCAGTTCGTTTCTCCAATACTTAAGGATGCCTTGCTTGCTTTCCCTTTCCTGGAGGCACTCAGGTCCAGGCAGGATGGGGGCTGTCTCACTCAGGCTGGTCTGGTGGAGGGCAACCAGCCCAGGGCAGGAGCGTGGGACTGGGTGGTCCTAAAGGTACCTTCAGACTTAAACTGTTCTCTGATTCTGTGACTTGAACAAGTAACTGATCTGGATAATAAGCTTAGCTTAGTGGTGAAGCAATTATCTATTTAAGGGCAAACATGGATAATAACTAGTAGGAAAAACAGGGCACACGCGGGGGTGGAGTTGCCGAGCACTTGTAACAAAGGTGACTCAAGGCTGGTGGCCTCAATCTTTAGGATGGCTGCTGTAATCAGCAGGATGGACAGACCCCTCTGCAGCCCAAACACAGGAGTCTGAGTAGCAGCTGTGGCAGAGGCAGGCGGCTCACCGTGCCACCGAATGTGGGGAGTGCGGAAGTGGATGGAGCTCGTTTGGCAGCAGCGAGCGGGACAGGCTCACCGACGCTTTCAGTTAAAATACAGAGTCAGTAGCTTGTGCGGGAGTTTTGCCTCGCCGGGGCCGATCTGTCAGCACACCGGCGCCAGGCGGGATCGCGGAGGCCCCGCCAGGGAGCGCTGTGGGCGGAGGCGTGACCGGCCGGGAGCGGCGCTCGGGCCTGGGGTGTCCGCTGCCTTCCGCCCGCTGGTGTCCCCCGGCGGCGGTGGGAGCGGAGGAGGAGCGGCTCGGAGCGAGGAAGCGCCGCCAGAAGCCATGTCTGCGCCCACCGGGCTGCCGCCGCGGCCCGCCGGTGCCGTCGCCGCTTACCCGGGCGGGCCCGTTGGCTCTCGGGAGGCCGCGGCCCCTCAGGGCGCTGCGCCGCGCTGCCAGAACGGTGAGCGGCCTGCGCGGGGCCTAGCGCGGCGGGCGGGGAGGGGCCCGCGGGGCTGCGGTGCTCGGGACGGGGCTGGGCGGGCCGCGGGGGCTCCGGCGGCTCCGGCGGGCCGCTCGTCGGGGCCTGCAGTCGGGCGGGGCCGGGCCGGGCCGAGCGCGTCCTTTTCGGGCTGGGGCCGGAACGCGGGGCGAACTCGGGAGGAAACGCGGAGTCTGCTGGGCTCGGGGAGCTGCGATGGGGAGGGCGTGCGTTTCTTCTGCTCATCTCGTGGTTAAATGTGTTTGAGTTCGTGGCGATTTTTTTTTTTTTTTTTAATTTTTTAAGTCACTTATGCCATAATCCGGCTTTTTTTTTTCCTTTGGTGTGTGTGTGTGCAGGCTTTGTTCTGCACAAGCTAGCGCGTGGGGTAACGACCTACAAAATTTTCGCTTGTGAATGTGCCTCGTGTGCGAAGGGTGGCTGGGTGATAGGTTTCTCAAGTAGGCTTTGAGTAACTTGGCAGATCAGGCAGAAGGCAGTGTGATGAGGAAGGTAGTTAAATTGCGCCCTTTAGGGAGAAACCGCTGCTACAGATGTATCTGCCGACCTTTAATATTGTAACGCTGAGACTTGTCGAAATTATGTAGGAAAAATTATGTAGAAAACTCCATCCTAAATGGCTTTTAATAAAAGCACAACGTTGTGAGGACTCGGATACCCCATCAGCAGTGAGCTAAAGTGTTTCTCAGAAACAAACAGAAACCAACCATTCTTGTGTTTTTGTCCAAATGAAACAGCAATTTTAAATAATTCTCAGTAGTGCTTATTATTTTGATTAATTAGTTCCACGTTGTAGTCATCTTCTGTCAGTCAAAGAAATGTTTTTGCTTTTTTAATTCTGAGAAGTTTATATTATTCAGTAATTGTTTCATCTTTGTTGTGTAACTTGCTAACTACTCCTGTTACCTTTGGCTTCCATATTGAGGTGTTGCTCCATGATATATATTTGTAGGCCAGACCTCTGAATTTGTCACTTCGTGTATTTTAGCACCAGCAGCCTAAAATTCCTAAATTAGTCTGTGAGTCTTTTAAGTACTACTTTTCTGAAGTTACATAATGTAACACAAGACTTGAAGCTACTTTTTATAACTGTAATAGAAGGAATAGTGAGGGGGAATAGTAACAAAAAAAGACTGTACTAGAACTTTCCATTCTATCAAATAGAAACTAAATTTCACAAAGATTAATTTGGAATTTGATGTTACATCAGTTAAATGTAAATTACTTCAGTGAATGTGCTTAGTTCTATATTGGCTATAAAACATGCTGTTGTGTGTCCTTGCAGATGTTTGGAGTGCTCTTTGTGTTTTAATTTCATAACACCTGGATTTTTTCAGGTTAAGCTTTCGAAATTACTTGCAACTGATGAAAGCAGGGTTGATTTCTTTTGCAGAAAGAAGCTCACTGCATGGACAGCGATAGCAAAACGGATGATCCACTTTGTCTTTAATAGGATTTGCCCAATCTAGTAACCACATTCATTTGAGACCTCTGGGGACATGGATTTTAGCAGAACTTCAGGTTAAAAATGAAAAAAAAAACAAACAAACAAACAAAAAAAACCCTCATACTTTATTATTTTTTTTTTCTTCTCAGTGTTCTCAATTTGGTTCTATCCTTAAATTCAGTGTTTAAAAAAGAAAGAGGATCTTGCTTGGCCTTTTGTCTTCCATCAGGGGCTTTAAGATACAGTTCTTCTGAATGAAGTGTTGCAGGCTCAAAATTACTATAGTAGTTCTGCAGGTGGCTTTATATGCAACAGGAGAATGACTCTGAATGTCAGCTCAATGTATTGCTTGTTAAAAACAGTGTATTTTTTCCAATAACCATTGTTAACAGCTTAATGTATTGACATTTCTAATGCTGAGAGGATGGCTATGCTGAATTTCCTTGCTTCTCTAGAAGATGTTTAATATTATCTGCAAGTAGTTGGTAGAAAAAAAAAAAACAAACAAAAAAACAAAATTACAGTTGGTATCTCTGCTAGCATTTTGGGATTATCATTTTAATTATCAGGTCGTTTAGCATTGTTTTGCATCCCTGTTTAGGTCTTTTGGGTAGTTACAATTATATTAGAAGAAGGGGATAAAGGTATGAAATTCCTGTATTTGTTGTGGAAATGGGAAGCTGATGAATTCCATCACTGAGCTGCTGTGAGAGCCCAGCAGGTCTCACTGTGCTGGGTGGTGTGCTGGCAGTGAAGGACATGCAGAGCTGAACTAGGCAGGGCAGTGCTGCCCCTTGTCCCTCCTGTAAGAGACACCCGAGGGAGCTGTGCTGCCTGCCCTCTGCAGGTGCATAAAGAGATGCTAAAAGTTGCAGGAAACTTGGCTAGAAAGGCAGCTTGTGTTCAGAGTCTGTAGATTACACGTGCTTGGCAGAAAGCTGAATTATCCAGGTAAGAAAATGTATGTATGAAATACAAGCGAACAACACTAGAAAAGCAAGCTAATTTTACTAATTACATGGCTGTTGGTGTTAGTATAGCTGGGACAGTTTTTTGTTTCTCGTATGGCAACACTTTTTTCTCTCAAAAAGTGCTAAGGCTTTTGGCATCCAGTTGTTAATGCACATGTGCTTACATGTTACAACATTATGAGGTACAGATTTGTCTATGGCAGGAGAGTTTCCCTGCTTGCTGTTACAGAAGTGGCATGTTAGCTGTATGCTTGCAATGTGCAGGTAAGGCTTTCACCTCCTCATACAGAATTTTGGAAAGGGAGTTGTCAGGTGTTTGGGAAGGAAGGTGCATTGCCTGAAGCAGCAGAACAAGGACGTGCAATTATCCAGATTTCAAAATGACACCAAAAATATACCCAGATTTCCCGTGTTGAAAGTGGCTCAATTATCTAGTCATCATTAAAAGCTTCAGCTACTAATTGCGCTGCAAGTTACATTCTATTCATGTTCTTTATGATCAAATGAATATAAAGCTCATTTCAGATGATGGGGATAATCTTAAAATAACAACATTCTTTCAGAGGCTAAGGGTTTTGAAATCCAAAGGATCATAAATGTGTCTTTCTCGACTCTGTGGGATTTTCCTGTGTGCTCTTGTGTCATTTTGTACTTGTAGTAGCTGTTTCTGTTTACATCTTTGTGAATAAAGATGACTTGGGCATTCTGTGATGTGGAAACTGGTATTCTGTACTGGTAATTCAATCAAATCTGCATTTTGTTAAACTAGAGCTAGAGACTGCCAGGCTTTACAAGATGATTTGATATTTGTTTATTTAAAGTGAGGTGCTCCTAAACCAGTTTCTAAATTATACTTGCTCAGTTGGTTTATTCAGCATACCACAACACAGTAAAACAAATGCACAGAATGTGCTTCTAGAACAGCTTTCCTTGCCATCTTTAGTGGCATACCTGCTGAAAGCAGTAAGCCTTCATGTAAATTATTTGTGTATTTTTGAGTTTACTTTGCTGTTCAAGTTCATGTAAGCGTAGTCTGTAGTTGCTAGTGGATTACTAACTGGAAAATCATTCTCTCTAAAGGAGGATAAACTACAGAACATTGTAAGGTAGCTTCCACTTCGTGATAACAGTGAATCAGAAGCATGCAATTACACACTCTTCAGAATTGTTTGTCTTTTTGTTGTGTATTTAAAGCTCCAGTGCTTTCTCCCCTAGGGCCTTCCTGTTTCTTTACCCAGCACTTTTATATTACTGTTGTTTGTTAGCTGCTTCTGCTCAGAGTTTCGGATTGTCACTTATGAAAAGGCATTTCTCATTTGATCAGAAAGTACTTTTGGGTGTTATGTTCCTTGCTTACAGGATTCTATTAACAAGTCATTATTACAGTTGCCCTGCAACTTAGTCAGAAAACACCTGGATGTTACTTTGACTGCGGTGACTTCAAAACTTCATTCTTCGAGAGAAGCATGAGAGAATTATGAGAGAAGTAATACTTGCATGTTGACATAGTGAAAATAAGGAGGCAAAAAGATGAATTTCTGATCTCTTCTCTGCTGTTGAATGGCACAGTATCACGCTGCATGTCACAGTTCACCAAATACTGGGAAATAACATCATGCAGTGTGACGTAAGCAGCAGGGCATGGTGATTTTAAGAAAGGAAATAATCCAGGGAAATGCTGGCGTGGTTCACTAGAAAACAGAAGTTAGGGCTTGGGAAAAGAAACCAAGAGAGCCTTTGATATTTACCATTGATCAATTTGAATAATATGTAAATAAAATTTGGAGCTGCTTGATATTTGGTGTGTCAGCATGTACTCTTGCTGGATTGGTATGCAGTTAACCTCTAATGCTGCAGAGCTGTTTGCTGGGACAGCTGAAACTCTCTGATATCAACACCTCCTCCACCTGATATAAGTATCAGGCAGTAAACAGAAGTGCCTCGTCGGCTAATCTGTGTTTTCATAAAAATGATGGTTTCTGTAAATACAAAAAAATGTATTAAGGAAAAACGTAACTGCTCTGAAGCACTTTATCTTGATCACCATATAGGGGATTTATTGAGACAAATAGCCATGTTTTTTATATATTAGTATTTACATTTGGCTGCAGCTTTTTGTTTTCCATAGTCAGTTTCTTGAAGGCATATTGTTGTATTCAGATACTGAAATACTGGTTTAGCGCTTGCTGTTGCTCATTATTTACTTAAATATTTTCTTAAAACGATCAAAATGCAAATGTGATGCCTCGGGATCTTGAAGTGGAAACATATTTTTTTTATATAATGGAAGAGATCTGTTTTTCTGGTACTTCTCTGTGTATGCAAATTATTTTAGATGTGGTATTTTACATGCATTGTACTTGGTTCATTCATTTTGTTCTGCTGATGGACATTATCTTAAACGTACGGAGAGAAAACAAGACAAAACGAATTGCTTTTTAGCTACAAAAAGTACAGAGTACATTAACACTGTTAGCAGATGCACCTTTAATACATGAGATGCTTTCTCTTCATTTCAGGTCCCGTGCAGAGTCAAATGCAGTTCCCTGCTGGCTATGGCTCACATCCTCCGAACTACAGTGCACCCTCAGGACACTATTCCCAAGTGCCCAATAAAGCTGTTTCATCACCTTTGGATAATCAATATAGAGCCAGTTACCAATCTCCTTACTATTCAGCACCAGCACAAAATGTTATGACGCCACTTGTGGGAACCAATGTGTTGAATACACGGGAATCACAGCAGTTCTACAACAAAACTCCTCCCCGTACAGTGGGGTTGACTGAAGGACCCGTTCAAGGAGCAATACCATCTGGATCCTACTTGCATACAAGTGCACAGCAGTCATATTCTGCATTTGGTGATCACTACAACACTTCAGTCAGCTCTTCAGTTGCATCTCAGGGATTTCCCCTTAATTCTGATCATTACGCCATGCCCGTGGTTTCTAGTGCCGTGTATCCTAATGTTTCCTATCCTCCTGCAGCTGCTAGCAGCATGTATGGGCAGGCATTTACCTCTCAGAGCCTTCCTGCAGCCGGACAGTTCAAAGAGACAAACACATTTTCCAGCCAGAGTACATCAGTACCTCATTCACTTCAACAGCATGTTCCTGTGGGATATAACTCTACATTATCAACTATTTCATCTGCTCAGTCCTTTCAGGACAACCTCGGCAAGAATCTCACTGGATCCGTTGCTAAAGTAAACAACCAAGTAAACAGAGGTACGGTGTTATTTAAAGGATGCTCGTGGGAAACATCAGAAATCCCATTTGATTTCTGATCATTCTGTGAAACTCTACATTATAATTTTGAATTCTATCCTTACTGATTCTGGAAGCTTTTCTCATTTGGTTACCACAATCCTTGCAATAGCAGCTAATGCTGCCGCTGACACACTTCTATTGAGAGATACAGAAAAAGACACTACTGCGGGAGTTCAAAGGTTATTTGTTGTTTAATTTTTAGGAAACTTAGAAGGGAATTCTTTCTTGCTGTTTAGAAGGAGGATGCAATTTCTTAATTGCCAATATACTTTTTTCATTTGATGACTAGAGTTTTTTTTTGATGTTTTGACTTAAGCTTGTTCTTCATCTTTTACCTAAATGAACACATATGCACACTCTTTCTTCAGACAGTTCACAAACCTAAATGGGTTTGGGGCCAATTAGTTTGTTTTCCAGAAGCATGTGACAGCTATTTAGGTGGTTGTAGCTGATTTATTATTATTATTATTTTTAATAAACAACAATGTTATTTTAGCACTGTTGTAGCAGTAGAGAATGAAGTATGGAGAGTGCCAGTTGAAGGCAAGTACGCTCAGTCCTTGCTAGTAGCTTTAGCTTCTGCTGCTTCATGAGAAAGGAGACTGCAAGTTCGTAGGGTAGGAAGAGTGGAAGGAATTGGATGTGCGTGAGGAGGGCCTACATAATGAAACATTTTGTTCTCCTTCTGTATCTGTATTAACTATGTAGTGTGTGGAAGAAAATTCTGATTGTCCTTCTATACTGGGAATGTTCTGACTTGATACAGTTCTGACTTGTAAGCTGTGGAAGACTAGTAGTTTTCTGATGAGATGGGTATCAGTGAGCTGTAGAATGTTTCCTTCCTTATGCCAGATATTTCAGATTATAGTTAAGCATCAAAATTGGTTTTGGAGTTGCTTGTAGCTGAGGCTTTCTAAGACCAAGGAACATGGTTTTGATGATGGTAAAGCTTTGAGTAGAAGCACCAGCTTAGCTTAAATCAAGTTCATCCAGTACATGTCAGGGTTGACTTTAGTTTTTAGAATGTTGTTTTGTTTTGTTTCCAAACTATGAGTGGTATCTTTCAGCTCAGTTTTGGGAAATGTGAGTTCTGCCTCTGTATGCATATACTCTGTGCATGTTTACTTAGTATTTCAAAGCCAAAACAAAACACTGTTCCAAAAAAAAAAAAAAAAAAAAAAGAGGAAGGGGGAGGGCTTTACAAAGCTACTGAAAATAATGGTGTTTAAAGGCTAAGCATAGAAAGAATTATTTCAAGGACTAAAGGTTTAAAAGTACATCTGAAAATTGAATTATCTTCAATATAGAACCAATAGCTGAACTTCATGGAATTCGGGTATCCTTCAAAGGATACTGCAGTAGTTGTATTAAAATTATTTATTATTTGTTCACTATCCTTCCAGAATAGTGAGATTTGCAGTAGTCTTTTGAAAACTATCTGTTGTGTGTTCAGACTTTACAGTTTAATTTACGGAAGTCTTTTGTTTAAATGCATATTAATTTGACTTCCTTTTCTGTTATTAGTTCATAGCTATTTTTGTAAAGAAGGACTGTATTATGGGTGAGACAGTGAAGCTGGCCAGACTGTAAAGAACATTATGAGGCATGGATAGCTTTCTTTCTGAGCCGTTCAATGAGCTTTAAGGGAGTGACTGAGATTATAGAATCACAGAATCCCTAGAGTTGGAGGGGCCTTTAAAGGTCATGTAGTCTAACTCCTCTGCAATGAGCAGGGACATACACAGCTGAATCAGGTTGCCTAGGGCCTGATCCAGCCTTGCCTTGAAAGTCTCCAGGGACAGGGCATCAACTGCATCTCTGGGCAGCCTGTTCCAGTGCCTCAGCACCCTTGCTGTAAAAGACTTTTTCCTTATATCCAACCTAAATCTACCCTCTTTAAGCTTGACATATGACGCGTCCTCAAAGAACTAGTAGCAATATCAAGCTTAAATTTTAAAGAGCTCTCTTCACAGTGAACTCTGTTGAGATTTACTTGGAGCGTAACTTCTTTTCAGTCTGAACCATTTTTGGGGTTGAAACTCAACACAGAAGTGATTCTGTTTGCTGACCGGGAGAAAGCAAATTAAGGTAGCAGCCAGTAGCAGACTGAGGGGAAAGCAATCTGGATTACTGGCGACATTGGCACGAAATACTGTTTGAATAGCAGTTTTGGTGCGGTTTCACAGTAATTTAAAAAGTCAAGCCTGAATTAACATGGTCCCATTCTTCCTGTGGTATTGATGCAAGTATTTGAGAACATTATAGGTAGCTGTAGGTGTTTCATCAGATTGAGTTGTCACATCTAATTCCATTAGATACAGATGTAATTCCGACCACCCAACTAGGACTTCTAGCCTCTCATTTAATTTTACAGAATGATATCATTAATGAAGTTGGAATGCTGGTTTTTTTGTTGGTTTGCTGGTTTTTTTGTTTGTTGTTTTTAAAGTATAAAATTCAATATCTTTGGCTTAAAATACATTGAAAGCACTGATAGGTTGCCAGGTTAATGACAGATGCCAAACTCTTGTTTGGTCTTGGCATAATTGAGTTGCTTTTGGGGGTACTGAAATGCTTTCTGAATTTCTCTGCGCAGTTTTATTGTAGTCAGATGAAGTACTTTTAAATAGAGAATTCAAAGTGTTGGCTGACTTAAAAATAAAAAAATGTTGAAACTTGAAAATGACTTGCCAGTTTTTGTACATCTTTGGAAAGAGTACAACATGCTAGCAATCTAAGGAAATGATGAACTGTTCATAAAAAGAAATTTTCCAGAGAACAGCAGGGAGGATGAAATATTCAGGAAGAAAACAGTGACAGAAAACAGTTTCAGTCTCTTCTTGCAAAATTGCTTGAAAATTGCTTAAAATCCGCTGAAATTCCCAAGTGCTTTTTTATGACTGTTCATGTAAATAAATTTTGATTACCCTCTCCATTGCTAGTTGGAGAACCAAGAAGCCTTTTTGTCATTGCAGTTTTCAATTCTGTATTTCTGCAGAATATTATCACTATAAATCTGTCTAGATCAGTGCTGTCCTATATAAATAACACACTGTATTGCTCAGGGTTTTTTTCTTTCTAGGTCAGAAGCTTTCTTTACTGTTTTTCAGCTTATCTCAGTTGAAATTCTGACTGTCTTGGTACTTTCCAGGCAGTGTGGATCTGAGTGTTTTGCCAGTCAGGATGCCCACGTTTTATTGGAGTCTCCTCCCATCAATGAGGGGAAAACTCCAGAGGGTGTTTGGGATGAGTTTCTTTGCGTTATGGATCTTGTCTGATGTGCTGTAATCATAGGCAGGCAGCTTGACCTGAAGACACTTGAATTTCTTGGCCTCATACATGTCTTTCTCCATATATCAGATAGGGATCTAAAGTCCTTGCTGCCTCACTTCTGTAGGAATGTTATAATTCTATATATATTACAGGAGACTTGGAAAGTTGTGGAGATAGGATGCTACAAGGAGATGGTAAATCTCTCCATAGAAATTAAATGCTAAGTTGGGGGTTGAAACAATCAAGATCATGGCTATAGCAACTCAGAACAGATGGATCTCTAATCTCTTCTGAAAACTTGATGGTACTACTGTGGTAAACTTTTTCAACTGTTACTTTAGGTCTCAAGTTAGAAATAAAAACTTCTGGTGATAGTGTATAGGAAAAATGACAGTTTACCTCCAATTCGTACGTTTCCAAAGATTGTTTCTGTAGCATATCCTTCAACTGTACGTCTCTGTTTCTGCAAGGCTTTTGTAACCAAGGATTTGGTTTCAGAATCATTTGGTAATTTTTAGTGCAGGGTATCCTTGTGATTGAAAGGCATGAATGAAACGTTAGCACGCATAAATAAAGGTTTATAGGGGAGGGGAAAGTACAGAGAACGTTGTGTCACTGAGATGGGGTTTTGTATTTGTTGCAGCATAGTGAAGGTCTTCCTCGGTGGGAGCGTTGTATGGGCTAACCAGCATTGTCCTGGAAAAACTAATAGGAAACTTTAAAGTGGGTGATCAGTCCAGCTTTGTCTCTGAAATGTAGCACGCCATCCTGAACTGATCGGTGCTGGTGTTGCAAGACACAGTCTGGCAACTAGTCCAGAAAAAGAAAATATTGGTAGAAAATTACCACAACCGCTGGTTGTCTCATGATGAATTATCAACATATTTTTACAGATGAAGTTTGCTCACTTTTACACGTGGCTTCCCAAAGCTTTCCCATCACCAAATAAAGTTTAATGTGTAATTTCACAACTTCTGTAAAAAGAGAAAATAAAAAATCCATAAAAAGAGCAAAAATTATTTTTTGCTGCAAGTTTGAAAGCATTCTCTTACTTTAATGAGAGATGAATCCTATTCGGATAAGGATCTACATCATTTTGGATGAGATTTTTGGATAGCCTGTGGTTGAAAATAAGACTCTAGTATCTGGCAGGGGAGTATTGAATCTTCAGCTAGTTCAAGTGTAAACCAGTTTTGACTTAAAGCATGTGGCACTGTTAACACGTTGAGTGCTTTATGGTAGTGCTTGGAACCGTGAGCATTGCTTTATTGACTTGAAGCGTGGAAAGTACCAAAATGCCATGCAGAACTCTTGCTGCTAAAGGAAGGTACGTATGCTACCATCACAGATCCTCCCAGGTCATCTCATTTATCTTGCTTGAGGAAGCTCTGTAGCTACCAGGGCATCATTTCTGCTGGAAGATGCTGGTGCTTCCTAGAGGAGTCCGTGAGGCATTGTGCGGAAAATGCAGGTTACAGCAAGTACGTTTCAATAGAAAATGCTGTGTGTGTGTGTACTTTGGAGAAAAATATTTTAATCTAGATTTTGGTAATTATTGCAAAATACTATATGTACTGCACACTGTATTTAAAAACTGCATTATAAATAGAAGTGCTATTAAAATGGGAAAAAGTATGCTGCCAATTTTGAAGATGAGTAAGAAAAACAAGAGGGTCATTTTAAACCTCATTTGCTCCTCCAGAGGAGGCAGGACATGTCAACCTTCTGCATAAAGTCCTGTCAAACATTAGCTCTTTTATTGAGGAAAAAGTCCAAGGTTGTATGTACTGCATTGTTATTTGTGCAGGGGAAGCAAAGCTAAAATTACATATGCATCGTTCACTGAATTCTGTACTTCAAATTAGTACTCTGAAAATGTAAGCATTTGAATTTTGTTTGTGCTTAATTTCTGTGTTGGTATGCTGAGTCATTGAGTTGGGGTCAAATCTTTTTTTTCTTATTCACATTTTAAACAGTTTGGTCTGTCAGAAGTTTTTAACAAGTAATTGTTTTTAAAACGAATGATAATACAATGTTTTTGCCAATTTATAAACAAAGAGTGATTCTGTTTAGCACAAACTTGATTGAACTTATATAGTCCTTATCTGATAGGAATTTCAACTGGACTGTTAAATCTTTCAAACCATTAATCTGATTTTTTTTTAAAGCGGATTATATCTAGTCCAGATGTTTAAAACACATCAGAAGTTCTGTGGAGTACTCGGGGCTGATTGAAGCAGATTGCTTAGAAATGGGTTTTGTAGTTGGGTAACAAATTGCACAATATCTGGAACCTGTGAGAGGCAGGATCCTGGTTACACACAGATGACTTGCAAGTTTCCTCCTTGTGAGAGGGATATGGGTGGGGAGACAGCCCTACATTCCTCTTACCTAGGAGGAGGAACCCCTGAAAGCATAGTGTTTGAGAAATGGAATATAAATGCATTCATTTAGCTTCTGTTTAACCTTGGTTGCACTACCTAACATTTTTGCTGTTGTTTGTCAGAGCAGTCTGTTATTTTAATGGAGTTTTTTACATTACAAACCTTTCATATTAAAAAATGATGACCATCTTTCTCATAAATACTTGTGTGAAGGCATTTCTGCTAAGTACTTTGTTGTTTCTGTGGTTGTGAAATGAACATTAAATATAATTGCTTGTATTGTGTGTTTGCTTGTGTAATTACAAAAAAACCCAAAAGTGTTCCTGCTTTCTCCTGCTGTTTTCAGGTGGCATTGATTCTTCGCAGCCCGTGCACTCTGTGAGCCAGAGCGTTCAGCTTTCCAAGCCTGGGGTTGGGGCACCTGCTTCCTCTGCTCTGATCTCCTCAGTGAGGACGCCGGCTCCAGGCCTTTCTTCACAGCCACGGTCCTCACCCTCCATTACGCAGTCACCCGACTCAGCCCTTCAGGAAGGTACTAAAAAGGAGTGGGAAATTATAATACAGACCTCTATCCTGATCCATGCGCGGATGCGAATGCTGGAAGCTTTATTGCTCTTCTACATTTGTCTCACTAGAGGACTTCTCCCATCTTGTCGAGCTTCTTTAGTGTTTGTGACACTGGTTCTGTTTGTTTTTTACTTTTCTCTCTTCTGTTTGATTTCGTCTGGTTATATAGTATCACTGGCTTTGCCTGCCTTATTGTCACTTGCATGTCTCTTCATTTCAAAGCACTTCACTTAGTTCCATTAAAAAGTTGTTTGCAGTGCTGATATCTTAGAAGGGCTTAAAAGTATCTTTTGTAATCAATCTGTTGCAAAATCAGATATAAACTAGCAACAGTGGAGTTGTTTTCTTAATGCCTAGCTGCAAGCTCCAACCTCCTGTGGAAAGCTATTGCAGGAGTTCCATGGGAAAACAGAGAGGCCCTTAAGTAAGCTTCTTCCTATTCTCATGTTGGTGACATCTTGATAAAGAGTGGGTCTTCAGCCTTCTGCCTTGCTAATGCAGCCATGATGTTTTGAGTTGCCTTTTAGGCTGTTTACTATCTCTGTTCTTAGTGTTCTTAATCTAATTTGTTGCAGTGTTTTCTTTCTTGCTATATTTTCTTCTGGTAATTTCAGAATTTTAAATCCTTATGGAAGAATAACTCGTGCAGAGTGGGAGTAGACGCCGGTTTTATTCAGAACAAGGCGATATCGCTAGCCTTCAAAATAATTCTCAAAATTGTAGTTTTCGGCAATCACAGCATGCTTTTCATTTTTAGCTTTCAGAGTACTCTGACATCCATGTCTAAACTTCTCCTTCTCTTCCATTTCTTCCTTTTTTCCTACGGAGTAAGGGACCTAAAGAAATAATTTCTGGGAAAAAGATGGAATTAGTTCACAAAGATAATTATTCATTGTTACCAAGTGCTATGTACAGTGTACTGTTTTAAGGAAAATAATTCAGAGCTGTGCTTGATTCTTGCACAGTTCTATAGATTGCTTGTTTACTGGGTAGAATTTAGTTTTACTGCAGCTGTGTTTGCAAGGAAAAAAAAACACTGCTTAACTTCTAAAGAAACAGCATAACCCTGTTGCAGATGAGAAAAAGGACTTGGTTGTTTAATTTTGCTTGCATTATGTATATATAGCACATTGTCACTATATATATATATACGTTTTCTGCAGTGATTTCTAAATAATGTACCACATGTGCATGTGGAATTAAATGCAGATCACTGTGGTCACTGCTGAATTCAAAATCATATATGTAAGTTAAGGTTTGTGCAGTAAGTAGCTGGATGAGCACTCTTCACAACCAGTGCTGTGCATATAACAGGAATATGTAGCTAAGTCATCAGGTGCCTGCAATGAGCTAATTGTATTTACATTATTGTAATCAATAATTTATCTGTCTCTCATCAAATGTAAATTTCTACTTGTAGATGGCAGAGTGTTAGAAGACTTTCTAAACATTTTTCAATTAGTTTCTGTTTTAGGAGTCAGAAATACATGATGTATTCTTGGAATACCTTTTTAGCACCAATTAAGTGCGATAACTTCTTTTGTAGAAATTAATCTACCAAAGAAATTGAGCATATCTTCTGAATATTTCTCCAGGTTGTTAGAAATTCACACGTGTTTCTCATACAGTAATGAAGTGGGGTGATTTTTATCCTAAGAGTAGTGTTGTCTACATGGGAATGTTCTGGAAATAAGATTTGCATTATTTCAAGTCTGTTTCTTTGCCTGTGTCTTAAGCCTGTGTGTGGGCATTCTTATGTAGCATTTAAATATTGTAATTGTTTAGTTGGTTCTAACCGGGGGGATTCTTACAGGGGGGAAAAAAACACCTAAAATGTGTTCAAGTTTTGTCTTAAATGTCCATACAGATGTAATGCAGATAAAGTAATCTTCTTGAAAATGGCATCCTAGAGATGGACTTTTGTGTGAATGTATTCTGTCTGGATGTTTTTTATATACTCTCTTATGTTCTGTGTTGTTGAGAGGAACTGATAGGTAACTGAAAATAATACAAAGCTAAGAAAAAGAAGAGAGTTCACTTAGTAGAAATTACTGTTTGCAATATTATAGTGTTCTTATCCTCATAGCATGTGCATTGAAAATATGAGGCTTATGCAACTGAAGACATTTAAAATATAGTCTATTTTTGCATGTCCTTATTTCATTTTCATTTTTGGTGAGGCCTCTATTATGAAACTTAACCTATATAAGCGTACAGTTTGTTTTAAAGTCTTCTATTATGTGAGTGGATGTTACATAAAATATCTAGATAGTTGGTTTATTTCATAGACAGATGATTTCTTAGTATAGTTTAGCACTTCCCTTTTTAAGCAAGGAATTTTTAGGACTGGAAGATTTTAACAAATTATTGGCTACTGTAGACGACTCTAAGCAGAATAATTAGTTATGATAAAGCTTGAATTGCTGTGTCAGCCACCTGTGCTGGTCCCTCAGTTGCCTTCTCCCATGTGCTCCTCTACTGGTTGTGCCACTGGGCTGTGAACCAAAATGAGGGGCTTCTGCATCTGAGATTGACTTTTTAAATGGAGTTATTTTTCAACTAGATCAGTTCATGGATTTGTTTGCATCGTTGAACAGTTGTGCTGGTAGAACGCAGCAGAATCCTAAAGGCAGGAATTTGTAGTACTGCTGGCAACAAAAATAATGTTCTGAGCTGATAAGGTGAGAGTTAAGCCAGCCCTGCCTCCAGACTTCATAATGACCTCACAGTTTCTCATTACTAAATTACTGTCATTCACGTATTTTCATTTATCTTCAGTATTCTTTCTGAACCACGTGTTCTCTTCATGTATGAACCAGTGACAGGAAAAGGAACAGTCCTAGAAATACGAGTTTATTTACTGTTTTTTTTTCCCAAGATTCCGAAGGGGGCATAGTAGAATGTCTAATTCATTCCTTTCCTTTCATTTGTCCGTGCTTGGAATTTTTGCATTGATGTGCCCTTTTCAGGTAGATCTACTTCCCATCTTCCTCTGTCTGTGATATTTGTAAGGAATCTGTCTTTGCACTTACATGCTGTGCTGAGCTTTCATTGTGACCTCTGTTTCTGTTACACTTCGTAACTTGTCTCGTTACCAATCCCTGTTCTGATTTTTTACTTATTACTTGCATGTCAGTGATCTTAAGGTGATTTTTCTCCTTCACCATGATTTAATTGCTCTGTCTTCTTCATCAGGAGTTCTTCTAGGCCTGAGAAAAAGACGTGGTCTCTTCAGCTGTAGCCTCTTTTGGGGCAAAGAAAGTTTTGTTGTTGTTGTTTTGTTTTTTTTTGTATTATTATCAAGTGCATCTGGTAGCCTTAACAGGAGATGGGAACATGAAGCAGTGGTGCTAACAGTACAGAGAGACTAAAACATTATACCTTGGTCGTCTTCATTGTTTCCTACTTACATTGAGGAAAAACTTGACTGGAGTTGTAAGACTGTGACATGCTGAATGAAGAGAAATAATGTCAGTCACTTTGTGCACAAACTCTTTGTGGAAGGTACAGCTTCCCAAGAACGCTGTGATACACCTTTGCTCTGTTTTCTTTGTACACCCACTGTGCATAGATGCCCTTTGCTTCGACTCTTGTTTTTCTTGAGTGAAATTGAAGCAGTGCTTTGAGACTGCTTACATGAATGAAAAAAAAAAAAAAAAAAGAAAAAAAAAATGCATGAAAATAGCAGCATTTGTACCTGATATTTTAATTAAAATAAAGGTTGATGTAGTAGGTTTTAGTTTGGAGTTGGGGTTAATAAATACCATGATGGTTTCAGATTGTTTACTACTTTTGTAGTGCTATATAGTGTTAAGATAAAAAAAAAACGCTCTAGTGTAATGGTGACACTGTTCCTGTGGGAAGTAAAATCCCAAACTCCTGAGTTTGGAAGGTTTAGATCTTGCTATAGTGGTTAACCAGATTGCTGGGAGGGGGAATTATGTTTCTTCTTAGTATGTCTCTTTCTGGCTGCAAGCCCATCTCAAAAACTATCTTAACCCTGTCCCACAGCGAAGGAAATTTAGGAGTTCTCAGAAATGTTTAGACTTAATGAATACACAATGTTACTAATTATAAAATACTGCAATGTGCTTTACTCTTTTTAAAGTTATATGTGCATGTGCTGTTTTGTGTATTGTTCACATATATTTGTTTTAAGTATTATATGTGTATGGTTTGGAGTTGTCTATGAGTTGTCATCAGATCTTAAACGTGAATGGTAATTTTTAAGTATGGGTCTACAAGCTTGAATGTAGGCACTAATTCTAAAATAACACTAAGTTTTCAGGTTTGCCTAGTTTAAATTTCTCTGAAGGTGTTGCTGAAGTGTAAGTTTGTGTTCTTATACATTGTAACAGCAGTATGTTTCATTAATTTCTGACAGCATTCACACTTTGAAAGTGAATGCCTCCTGCTTTAAAGGGCAACTGTGCCAAGTAGAAGTTGAGTATCAATGCTTTCATAACATAATTTAAAATTACCTGGGAAGGAACACATTTATGTATAGATGTTGCTTTATGTAGGCATAAAAGGCCAAACTGCTGTTAACCATGAATGCAGAAAGTCTATGTGTATAAAAGTTACACACGCAGATGCAAAACTTTCTGCTAACTTCTGTGTTACTAATACTTCACTGATTCACTAAAAACTGCTTCTGCTGTACATAGTTCATAGATCAACAGTGGGTCTGGTTCTCTAGATTGTATAGGGTTGTATATTCAACTGTTTGCATGTTGGGATTTTCTCTGGAATGGCTAATACCTCTCACTTTTATTGCAATGATTTGTGACTTTTGTTTCTCATCTTTCCTGTCTGTCTGATTCTTATGTTTGTGCTTTCCACTTCACAGGCATGCAGTATGGTGGATATGTTAATAACCAAGCTAGCTCTGCACCAACTCCCTTGTCATCAAGTTCAGATGATGAGGAAGAGGATGAGGAGGATGAGGAAGCAGGTTGGCTTTAGCTTTACACCAGTATCTTATTCCCCTCCTATTCAAGTTATGTTCCATATTTCCCTCCCCTGAAATTATTTTTCTTTATTTAAGACAGAAAGTCACTTTAACTCAGTATGTATCAAGTTAACTAGAAACTTCCCAAACATTAAGTACTATTGCAAACAGAAAGGAGTTTGATAGTGGTCATCAGGTTCTGTTTGTTTCTTTTAATATTAAGATCAGATGTTTAATGTATCTCATTGGGTAATATTCACAGCTTAGAAGACTCACTGAGTTTTAGTATTTTTATTTGAAGTAAGTTTTAAATTACCAAGTGAAGATATCAACATTTTGAACTCTACATTGATAAGAGTTTGCTTTGCAAATAAAGCAACTGCATGCTACTTCTTATAATATTAAACAGCACTTACCTGGTTACCCATTCTGTGTATAGGAAAGCCTTCCAATTAAGGTGGTAAAGTAAATATTGAAAGTTTTAAATTCGGGTTTTTTAAGCCAGTAAACTAATCTATATCATTTTTCTTTCTTTTCTCTTTTGTTACATCTCTGCAGCTCAGACACATAGGTTCAGTTTTAACCTGCTTGCTTTGTGGCAGTCTAAATGCATTTACTGTTTTTTAGGAAGTAGTTTGTCCTGCTTGATTGAAGTGTTAGGCTCTTGGCTGCAAGGATTTTGTCTGTATTTGTCAGAATTGTCTGGTTTTCATATTCAGTGTTTTGTGTTTCTTGAATGGCAATTATTTCTTCCAAGGAAACTCAAAGAAAAATTTGCTTTGGTGGTTGTGAGGCAGATGCTGTTTGAACTCTGGTTTCTGAAGAATAGAGGTTTTTTGTTGTTGTTGTTGTTGGTTTTTTTCTTTTTGTGCAGGGCTTTCTACTGAGTTTTCTGCAGAAAAGTGTGTTTGCCTAATCGCCCCCACTCCCAAGCTTCTTTTACCACCTTTTTTTACTTATTCCCAAGCCCTGCTAGATACTAAATTTTCTTATTCTCTACCATCCTAATTTCTGAAGATCTGTACTTCTGTTAAAGCCTGTAGTCTTTGAACTGTCATTGTTTTCAAAATTCAGAAGAGTGCAAGGGCATCCAGACTCAAAGCATAAGTTGCCTAACTAACAAGTTTCCTGTTTTATGCCCTGTCACCAAGGGTTGACGTATATCTTAACAGATTTCTAGCTCAGTCTGTGCCAGCGGTTTTACAAAAAACAGGTGTGTTGTACATCTGGTTGTCTGTTTATGTAGGTTCTCAAAGCTTTTTTATACTTGGACCTTTGACTATCTTGCTAACTGTGTGAAAGCTGAAGTTATTTTGATGTAAATAACTAGGTAATCTTAAAAGCGTGTTGTAAGTATCGCTTCTGTCTAGATAGTGTCTATAATTATTATTATTTTTTAATTCTATAACATTTTTTTCCCTTTTTCCTAGCGTTTTCTGGTCTGGTGCTTAAAGTACTAAAATAAATGAACAGCTGTTGGAGCTTATTTTAAGTATAGGGCAGCTATTTAATTTTGTGGAAGTTCTTGTGTTCTTTGTTGAGGGAAAATGGTGAAATTTTAGATGCTTTTAGTTGCCCTGGAGTCCAAAGGTATTTCTGATCTGCAAGGAACTGCACACCTCATTGTTTTTGTAATAAACTGCATAGTTCCCAGTGGAGAGTGGGACGTATATTAATTCTTGTTCTCATTGGTACCCTGACTATTCTGAGAATGTGTTACAAAAATGTCAACAGTCTTAAGAAGGAAAGACCTTATGTGTAAGCTCTTCAGAAAGTATATGGGATACTCTGAAGGGAATTTATGTTCTTTTGTTAGGCAGACCCTGTTTGTGCTTCAGAGTATCTGAGATCGTAGTTTAGCTAGAATATGTCTGTATGCTGCTTGTTTTGATTGATATTGTTTTCTGTTTAGTAGAAATAGGACTAAGTTGCATTATTTTTATTTCCAGCATGCATTTGAAATATTTTCTTATTTTCTCTATTTGTCAGTGTGCTTTCTCTTGCCCTCCAGGGAGAACTTGGGAAGCATATAATATTTATTATTTTTGGTAACTCATTCTATCATTAATATCTTCCATGGACAAAGAACAATTTAATTTTATGTACAACTGCATTCTAGATGGATTTCATTTTGTGAGTACAGCTTATTGTAGAGAAAAATGTCTAATTGATGACATGGTGGTTAAATGGAAAAATGTCTAATTGATGACATGGTGGTTAAATGGGAAATCTTGAACTAGTCTTATATGTTCAGAGTTGTGCATATATCTTCTTGGTATTCTTCTGAAATGCAGAACCAGCTCTTCTGGTCAGATAAAAAACAACTTAAACTCTTAAGTAAATCTTGTTGACCTCATAAAAGCATATTTTGACTTCTTAGTAGTAGGACACAGCAAAGCTGTGCCACGCATGAAATTGGAAAAATTTTTTTGAAACAGCTTTTTTACATTGTTTTTGTCCTACCGTGTATCTCTCTTTTGCCATTTGTTTTGTGTTTGTTTCTAACAATATGTTGATTATTCATCTTTTCTTCCCTCTCCTTTTTGCAGTGGTAATAGCTTTCAAGTCTTAGGGCTACGGTGTTTGTTGTTGCGTGGTTGTTGGGGTTTTTTGGTTTGTTTTTTTTTTTTTTGTAATAAATCTTCACAGTTCCTTACCAGAGTTTTTAGAAAAAATATTCTCAAAGATTTACCATTTGAAACCTAAAGGGGTTTTTTTTCTTTTTTTTTTTCCTAGCACTTGATAGTTCTTCTACTACTAGCAGTGCGTCTCCTGTTCTGAACAATTATGATGCCCTGGAAGGAGGTGGCTATCCAGGTGATTGATTTGTTGTTGCATGTGAATTCTGAATTGTTTCTTTAAATTTACTAAAGTGTCTGCTGTCTGTGATTTTTTTTCCCTTTCTGATGTTGATTATTGTCAATCATTGAACAGGTGAGAGGAATTACCTTTCACCTTTATAGGAACTGGGGTAGTCTTTAGAGAGATCAAGCCTTGCTTTTTCAATCACTTCTCACAGATTTAACAGTGAAGTTTGAGTAATAATTAAGAAAAATTTCCCTGTATCACAGGCCATACTTGCCATCATAATATTGAGGGTAATGCTGAAAGTATGCTCTGTGTGAAGGCAGTTATCTTTCTCTAAGTTATGCTTAGTGTTTGATTGTGTTGGCTTACTAGCTGATAATACCTGACATGCACCATTGAAGTTTTGAGAGACCGAAGATAGCAGCAGAGATGGCTGGATCAGGTTATTTTCTTTTTATTCTTCTACATGCAAATAAGATTCGAAAAACCTAGATGGTATGCAGCTTATTTTTATCTTCAGAAATATCAGGAATGTCAGGTTCATATTATGTGATCTAATAGACTACCTCAGTCTGCAAATCTGTCATTTTGGGAATGGGTGGCAAGGGTGCTTTTAGGTATGTTAGTCAATATTATGTTATATATTTTTATATTATAAATAATGAATTAATTTTGGGAGTCTGACCATCTAAGAATGTCACAGTAGTTTGCTTAGTTTATGGGTTCTTGTGTAAAGCAAAATCTATCAGCTAAAATCTTGATACTGCTCTTGTATGGTCTGGTTGGTGCGGTAAAGGCAGAAGAGGCATGACTGCAGGAGTGTGAATTTTAATTTTTCAGATAATAACCAAGCATTTTAGTCTTGTTGAAGACTTATTCTGAAGATGGCTTATTGCTTTTGTTTTCTTCAAAGAGTAGCAGGATTAACTTTTATTCTTCTTGTTTTTACACCACCCATCTGAATTGTTTGAACCAAATCCAGTTTCTTAGAGGTTGTATTTTTAGGTGATTCACATGCCACTTCTCTTCAGATCTTACCAAGCCTAAATTCTTCTAAGTCTTATCTCATATTCAGAAGCATTAAATTTGAAAGAGTAGCGTTGTTTTATTGTGGGTTTTTGTTTGTTTGTTTTTTACCATAGTGGTTTTCTATGGGTTGAGGGCTGTGTATTACTTTCATTTTAACCTTTAACAGTTGTGAGACCAAGCTCTGCTGCAGGAATAGGTAGGAAGGACTTGGATTTCTTCAAAGAAAGCCATGTGTCTTCATATAGAGATTAGTACTTTAACCTCAGCGTTATGTTTTAAGAGTATTCGTAAGTGGCTGGAGAAGAGACTAAGCATCAGTGGTAAATCCTGGAATATAATGTGGGTGTGTATGAGGGTGGCTTTTGTTTTGTTGTTTTTTTTCCTCTTTTAATTGAAAAACTTGTTTTAAATGCTATGGAGTTTTTGGTTTGGTGTTTTTTTGTTGTTGTTGTTTTTGTTTTGTTTTGTTTTTTACAGAATGACATCTAGAAGTTTTGGGTGGTAAATATACAGGTCTATGGTCATCTTCCCACGTATAAGCCCTTTTTGGTGTCAGCTGCAACAGACTTAATTGCTAATGCCTTATTTATATGTGATGAATGCAGAAAAAAATCTTGCTGGATAATGCAAAAATTATAAATGGGAAAAGCGTCGCTCGTTAAAATGCATTCGGGAGTTGATGTCTTAACTAAGAAATTGAAATTCTACTGAATATCTGAGGGGTATTTTTGTCCTTCCAGAGACACGCTCTGTGACCAGCAGCCCAGTTCCTACTCCACCAGCCCCTCAAGCATCCAAAACTTCTAAGCCCTTTGGTTATGGATATCCAGCGCTGCAGCCTGCCTACCAAAATACGGCACCACCTACTCCTGTGCAGCCTGCTAATCCAAGCCACCATCCTGGGTTTCAGCATTATCCGCAGGTTCATATTTTTATTTTGAAAGTTACCTGATGTAACAAGAAGTCTTTTCTGTATATTTCTTTTTAACATTTTATGTTTATAATTTATGAATGAGTAAATGCTGAGTGTCATGCTGATCTCCTAGCTCTGATTTCCTTGGAAGGCTTTTGAACTGAATTTTAAGTGTGTTGCCAAGTAATGAAGCATAGCCACTTCGCTTTTGTTAATTATTCCGGTTATTAATAGCAGCTACAATTTTAAGGTTTATTGTTCTGAAGACCTATACTTCATTGATGGAAACAATAAGGAAGGTCCACTTACACCAGTGAAGCATCTTACAAGTAAGGTGTGGTCCGGAGTCCAGATGAAAGAGCTCCTCAAAACTGGGGTGCATGATGTGGCTGGCTGCCTGCTTCTGTTCTGCTCTCCTGGGTACCAGAGAGCACCAAGCACCCAAACAGTCGTGTACCCAGTTCTCATTAGCGGTGCTAAGATGTGTGTAAAGGCATGCAGAAAAACAAACCTACTGATTTATATATGCTGCTTTTTCTTTAACAATGCTCAGCAAGCAAATGTCACCAAAACTACTGTTGTCAGTGATTAGAATTCCTTATTGAGCTAAGCATAATACCTTAAGGAAGCATGTAGTAGCCACAAGGCCTTTCCTTGTTACAAAGGTAGCGTAAAATATGATATATAGAGAAAATGCTTAATTTTTAATCGAAAAAGATCACTCTATTCAGTGTAGCTTTGTCTACATGTTTTTATGTTGTTGTGATTTTTAGGAAAATCAAATGCCACTAACTTGAGCATTAGTTATTAATTTGGAAAAGTTACAGCTTAGCGATCTCTTTTAAAAGTGTTAGTCATTTTTATTATGATAGCTCAGTTTTAATTTAAATGTCTTACGTAATGAATCTGAAGTTGTTTTAAATTAAAAACACAAGGCTTATCCTAGTTTTATCTTCCTAAGCTTGCAAGAACATTGTGGTGTCCTTTTATTCATAAAAGTGGCAAGGCTTATTTTGAAATTCTGGACTTCTCTTTTTTTGAGGAGACATAAGGAGAAGAGGGCATCTTAAATTCAGACTCCAGTCATATTTTAGGTGTTGTACAGTGAAGAGAGATCTAGGTTCTTTTTAAGAGCACACAGCAAAAAGGATAAAAAATTGCTGGGTGTGGGAGGAGACATTCCAGTTATACATATAGAATGAAAATTCTTCAGAATGTGGTTGGGAAAGCATTAAAAGAGACTGTACTATGAAGTCTTCTATCCTTGAGCACTTTGAGAATTTACCTGGCCAGGGCTGTGTACATTCTTGTTAGCCCTGCTCGATGAAAGTGTTTTGGACTGCCAGAACTGAGGTGCCTTCTAACGTAACCTTTTCTCCTCTTCTTTGGTGATTACTATATTTAAAAAGAAATATATTTATATGTGTTTAAAATGTTTTTCTTTAATTTGGATGAATTTCACTAATATTTTCAAAGAGGGAAGAAATCTCCTCAGTTTTTCTAGTTAGGTACTTCCCTTTATACCTGGAAAGCTTAAAGGATTATATATGACTTCCAGTGATAGTTTGTATATTGTTTGAATTTGGTCCCATGAAACATATTTTAAATCACTGCTGTGAGACTATAATTTTGTTTGGTTGGTTTTGTTGTTACAACCACTGTTGGTATGCTTTTTAATAGAGCTCTGGAAGAATTCAAATTACATGAAGATTTAGGATAGTTATGTGAACATGACTGTATGTTTATCAGTTTGCAATGCTCTTGGGGCGTTTTTTGTGTTTTTTTTTTCAGCAATATCCAGGTGTGAACCAGCTGTCATCTTCCTTAGGAGGGTTAAGTCTGCAGCATTCTCAGCAGCCAGAAGGCTTGAGACCTGTAAACCTTACACAGGATAGAAATATTTTACCTGTATCTTCAGTTCCAGCTCCTGTGCCGAACTTGAATTCTGATCTTAGGAAATTAAACTGCAGTCCGGAGTAAGTATACGGTGTCTAAAAGAATGTGTTATGTGCTTCAGTGATGGCTTCCTTAGTTTTTTGATGTTACAAATAGTTTAAAGCGGACTACTATTTTGAAATCTTTGTAATAGTATAACTCCCTTCACTTGAAAATGTTTATCATCTGCATCTTTACGCAAAATGTGAAGTTGTCCTGCCGTCAGAATGCTTTATATGCAGTATGAGTGTAGTTTACTTACTAAAACATGAAGAATCTTACTGCATATTTGCCTTGTATTATCCGTCTTTAAATAAATAAAAGAATAAATACTAAAACACCTTGATATCACGCAGTTCCATTTCATGGAATTTTTTTGTAATATTGCATAGGATTTTGTTCGAGATAACTATGATGACTGTACTATTAATGTACTAAATAAAATGTATGTTCAACCATTGTAATACTGCAATTGCGATGAATAATTTTACCTCCAATTAACATCCATCTGCTATTTCAAGTCAGGCACATCTCGGTGTAGTGAAAATTGCTTTCCTCCCAAACACTTCAATTTTAATTAGAAAAAGATATATATTCTTTGCTCCAGATTAACTCTCATGGCTGCCCTATTGGCAATGCACGGTCCCACCAGAAAATAGGTCAGAAATGAGGATCTCAAAATCAGTCTTAGGCATGTACAGTGCTGTTGATGCTTTGGATTTCTTTAGTACTACTGCTGATTTGAAATCAGTCCTGTACTTTGCATTGCATGAATAAAAAAGGTTTTGATTGTCTCGGTATTTTAGGTACTCTTCTGCTGCTTTCTTACATAAATTTTGCTTTCTTGGACTAGTGAATGCTTGATTCCTTCTTTAGTTCCCTTGTTAAAACAAAATAAGATTTTGAGAATGAATAAAACCTGTCATTTTAAATTAAACGTTATATTTAAAGCAATTCTTTCTTGGTTTCAAGTTTGCTTTGCTGTATATGTATTACTGAACTACTTAAGTGATGTAGGGGAGTCTTTTTCAATTCTTCTGAAAGTTTTTTTCACAATTCCTTTTCCATTACTCTTTAAATCAGCTTTGTAAAATAAAGCGTTTTTTAAATTTCAGAGTTCTTTAAAATCTGGAGTTAACACAATGTTTTTAGCATCTTTTAAAAAAAAAATCATTTTCAATGAAATGCTTTTATTTCTTTTCAGTTCATTTCGATGTACGTTGACAAATATTCCACAGACACAGGCTTTGTTAAATAAAGCTAAACTTCCTTTGGGTTTGCTGCTACATCCCTTCAGAGACTTAACGGTAAAATAGCTTACCTTTTTAGTATATACATTTAATATATTCTAATATCTTTTTTGGATCAGACAGAATAAGATATAGTGATCTATAATTGCTAAATTTAACAGAAGTTGTTAAAAAAAAAAAAAAAAGTTTGGGAATTAAAAGAGAATTTAAACCTTGAAATTGCTACCTCATTGAAATTGATAAGGGAAAAGCTTGGGACTTGCCCTTTTTTTTTTTCCTTATTGTTGAAATGGCAAACAGAGACTTGTTTGCTGGTGGTTTTCTGGAGCTCTGAATTGAAGTTTTGAGTGTGGGGGCCAAAACTATAGGACGCTTTTTGAAAAGGTGTTCACAGTGCTTTCTTGAAAGGCAACACTAACATGACAGCATTTATTGTGCCAGTAACAGAGGCACGATAAAAAATTAAATAAAATTGAAAGGTAGAAACTGTGTTAAGACTGTTGAGCTGCTGTTCCATTCCATCTAGCTTGTTTATAATTACGTAAAAAGGTTGAGAAGTTATCTGATACAGCCTTCTTTTATTCCTGTGAATTTTTTGGCATGTAAGGTTTGCTGTCTTAGCATCTGTAGTCACAAATTTGACCTTTAATAACTAATCTTGCTGTAGTAGCCTTATTATTGTGGCTGACTAATTCTATTTAAATAGTGTAGCATCTGAGATTAATGAGTTTGGATTAAGATAAGTGGAATTATTACTTCTGATGTTAAAGAGATTTTTAATAGGCATTGTTACACACTGTGAAAATGATCTAGAAATGATAATGAAAAATGATAGAACGTCTGGGCTTTTGAAGCTTTTATACACTGTGCTGCACAATAATGGACTTCATAAAATGTATTAGCTATCTTTGTAACAACTTTCTATTCTTTCATTTTAGCAATTACCAGTGATAACATCAAGCACAATAGTGAGATGCAGGTCCTGCAGGACATACATCAACCCTTTTGTTTCTTTCATTGATCAAAGGAGGTGGAAATGCAATTTATGCTATAGAGTTAATGACGGTAAGTTTTGTAACAGAAGAAGCTTGCATTAATATAATATATTTCTAGTGTTTGCATTGTATCACTCCGTGGGATACTCTTAAGTAGTTTAAAATGATAGTAATCTTAAGACGTTTTTTTAAACATCTGGATTTTGTCAGATATTGTGCATTTCTTAAGAAAAAATCATTTTGTAGTTCTGTGGGAGACTGAGGATGTAATCAAATTACCCCGGCTTCCTTGTGTAATAAAATCAATTTACACCACTGACTGCCATTGTAATGTGCAATTGGACAGATGATGACAGCTAAATACTGTGTGCAATCTAAGCCAGATATTATGATAAGCAGTAGAGATTGAAGCTTGTTGTGAAAGACTGTTTGCACTCCTTTTAACGCTTGTGTTACGTTACTGTTAAAAACGAAGCTTTTTTTGTTTCTAGTTATTTAACTTTGACATATGGGATGTTTTTTGTCATGTATCCTTAATGCAAATATTTTTTCTGTTAATTATTGAAATCTGTTCATTTCAGTGATTGTTCTTATTTGCTAGCAAGCGTATGAATTCTGGAAACCTTTTTTTTCCTAGTTCCTGAAGAATTTATGTATAATCCTCTGACACGATCTTACGGAGAGCCGCACAAACGGCCAGAGGTCCAAAATTCTACAGTGGAGTTCATTGCTTCCTCTGACTATATGGTAATGAATAAATTGTTGTGGTAAGCTTCCACAAAATTGCACGTTAATATAAATGCACTTGAAGTTGGCGTTGAACATGGCATGTTGCTCAGGTGGTGTGTAGTAATTTTCCTACGTAGCACCTGATTTAGATTAATTTAAAAGTACTCCAAGACCAGAGAACACTTAAAGCTGTTTTTTTTTTGGTTTTTTTTTTGAGTTTTGGCAAATGTATATATACAATCCAGTGCAGTTTAACATTACATAGACTGTTTTGATTGTGGTACAGTGCAGTTTCTGGATATTCCCTCTTAGTGAAGAAGTTTTGAAAAGCTGGTTGTGAAATAACAAGAGAGCTGGGTTCAAATTATTATTATGTTTCTAACCAGTAATCAACCTATGATTGCTGTAATAGTAGTCTTGTCTCCAAGAATGATAAACAAAGCTTGGAAATTGGCCCTGTTCATAATGACAGCATTAACTGCAGCAAAAGTAAATTGCTCTTTTAAAATGGAATTGGAGCACTGTGGCCAAGATGTTTGGAAATGAATAAATAAAGCTTGCTATGTAGTTGTCAGTAGACTATTTTTAGCACAAGTTAATGTATTGTATTGTCCACGTTCTGAGAAACCAGTGAGTTTAGAAGAGTAAATTCTGTATCTGGAAAAAAAACTCAATGCTTGAGTTTAGTGTTGGAAGGAGAGTCTAACAGATAGGATTTTTGCTCTGAAACACAATGTTGTATACTTGCAAATAAAATAAGGTTTGTTAACCACTGGGAATTATTTTAAAAAGTTATTTGCCTGGCTGTTAGTTAATTTTATTTTTTGGTATGATGTATAGCTTGCATTAATCTAAATATTCCCTTTGTCACCTTTCTATTGACTGCAGTTCTTTAACATTTCTTTAACTACGATTTTTTTTTTATTTGATTTTTTTTTTTTTTTTTTTTTTACTTTGTAGCTTCGTCCTCCTCAGCCTGCGGTATATTTATTTGTTTTAGATGTCTCTCATAATGCAGTGGATGCTGGATATTTGACAATAGTCTGCAATTCATTGCTGGAAAACCTAGACAAGTAAGAATATAAGTAATCTTTTAAGCTTAGCTTATAAGTGATTATGAACCGTAGTAACCTACAGTTTTGAAGACAGCTTGCATAGGATGTTTAAATGAGCTGTTCCTCAGGGACAGAAGTTCACAAGATTCTGAAATGAAACATTCACATCTTAAAAACAAGAACAGCAGTAATAAAAATAAAATAAAATAGCCCAACTGAGAAGTGTCTTCCCATTTTGTGGTTAAAGCTGATTTGTGAAGAATATAGAGCTGTAATTTCTAAGAATATATACAAAGATGTAAAGTGCTCATTTATTCTTCAGAACAACAAAAATAATTAAATGACAGAGATTAGCCAGCCTTCGGATGCTGAAACAGCGGAGGTGCTGCATAATGGAATGTTGTAATGGCTAGTGTGATGCTGCCGTGTTGAACTGTGCAATCAGTTTGGGTTTTTTAGATGAGTTAGCTGTATCAATCTGTGCCATCTTCTGTACTTCCCTCATTTTTGCACTGGAACAACATCTGGAATTTTTCTCAGTGCTTTTTGTGCGAGGGCCAATGAACTTCACTATGCTCATGCCTTTCAAAAACTGATACGTATCATATGGAAGCCTTTCTTTGGAAATTCTTTTCTACAGCATCTTATTAGGAAACTTAAAATTTTTCTTTGATACATAAAATTCTTCACATACAAATACTATATTAGTCTTTGTTCAGAGTCTCATTTTTAGGAAAAATCGTAAAATCCCATTTGTTTACAATGCCATATGTAAGATTATGGGCCATGGGATAAATAAATATGTTGAACTGAAGAGACTGGATTTTGATTTAGAGATATTCTGTTATTACATAAGCAAATGAAGGTTTTCTTTAGAATCATAGAATCATTAAGGTTACAAAAGAGCACTAAGGTCATCTAGTCCAGCTGAGAGCAGAATGCACTGTTTTCTGTAGAATGATTGAGAAGACTACCTTCTTGTATGTGCTAGTGTAATGCATGAACCACCTCTTCAGAAAAAACTGAAGAAGTATTGTGTTCGTGCTTCAAGTCTTATTCTCTCACTGTCCTTTTCTGTTCCCTTTTCACCTTGGTAAGTGGTCTGATTAACGTTAGCAAAAGCTTTATGTATGTGTGAGTGAGAAATGTAGAGCCTAATAGTTGTCTTTTTCTTCTACTGATGCTTAGGCTGCCTGGAGACTCAAGAACAAGAATAGGATTCATAACATTTGACAGCACGGTTCAGTTTTACAACTTGCAAGAAGGTTTATCTCAGCCTCAGATGCTGATTGTTTCAGATATTGATGGTAAGTAACAAGAAAGCGGAGACATAAATTTTTCTGTTTTCCCCCTCTAGCAGAAAGATTTGAGTCTATTGAATATTCCAGTATTAGTTGAATTTTATTAGATGTATAGGGAATATATTTTTGAAAAATAATCACATGCTATCTACCGAATAGTTTGTGCTTAAAAAATGAAAATCAAATATTAATTTTGCTTTGAATAAAGCAAGCTTTGTAAAAGTTACTTATCTCTCCGTAAAGTAGATCTTATTTGGTAGCAGTTACAGCAGTGAGAAATGAAATGTTTTGTTCTATCTTGATGTTATTGTTTCTTTCTTAACTTTTTTTTCCCTTTTCTCTACAGATATTTTCCTACCTACACCAGATGGCTTACTAGTAAACCTCCATGAAAGCAAAGAGGTATGGTTACTCAAAATTAGCTCATCACAGTTAAGCAGTTAAATATTCAAAATAAAAGTTCCTTTTGAAGTTCGAATTCAAGACTATCTGCATGATGTGTAAATGTAATGCTACTTTCTAGTTATAAAAAATATTATACTTTATTTGGCACGTCATTTTTTAACGTTACAATTTTGTTTTCCCCTATCAAAGCTAAGCTATTTGGTATTGATTGTTATGGCAATACAACTTTTTAGAAATAGCAGAAAATCTGAAGCTTGTGAATCTCATAAACAGCTTTTAATCTGTCTTTGCAGCTAATAAAAGATCTGTTGAATGCATTACCAAATATGTTCACTAATACAAGAGAAACGCACAGCGCCTTGGGCTCTGCTCTTCAGGCTGCATTTAAGCTGATGTCTCCAACGGGAGGTCGGATATCTGTTTTTCAAACTCAGTTACCATCTTTGGGTGCAGGGCTTTTGCATTCCAGAGAAGATCCCAATCAAAGGTCAAGCACAAAGGTATAAAAACTTAGTTATACACCTCAGGAGTCCAGTGACTGGACATGTCTCTCTGACTTGTATAGCTTGCAGATCATTATTGCAGTTCACTAAATTTTAAATGCACAGAGTTAACAAATGTGTATGGTCACTAATTTAAGCATACATTTGTGGTATTACGCATGAACTGTTCTTCGGGTCTTTATAACTTTTCTTGACAAGGAAAAGAAAGTGTGTGTATCTGCTCACTCCATTTATCATCGGCTTGGGCTTTTAGTATACATAACAGGAATATATTGACCTGTACACTTTAAACATGATTTTTTACTGTATTTACAAGGCCAACAACAATATCTACTAGTATATGTGTAATTATATTAACTTTTATTTGCATGAGTGTGTAAACTTCTCTAAAAGGATTATCACTGCTTACAAAGATGAACTAAAGTAACGTGCAACATAAAATTTTATTTAAAAATTAATGTAAAGAATTGCTTACAGGTAACTTTTGCTATTGAACAGTACGTCTGTTGTTTCTTAATGTCTTAAAGGAGCTCAGTCAGTGTTCTAATTCTCTCCTGTGTATTTTTTCACCAAAGGTGGTCCAGCATCTTGGTCCAGCGACAGATTTCTATAAAAAGCTGGCATTGGACTGCTCAGGCCAGCAGACTGCTGTGGATTTATTTCTCTTAAGTTCACAGTATTCTGATCTAGCTTCCCTTGGTAAGGAGTACCTAACATGTATTTATTCCTTCCCTAGTGTTTGTCTTAGAAAGTACAGGCTACTTCAGGAATTCTTTAATTGTGTCACTCATTTTGCACTTCTGTAAATGCAGCTAATGCTGCGGAGGTGTTGATTTTGAAGTTGATATCAGTAAAGAACAGGACTATTGGATTACTGTCATCAAAGATAATTTATTCTGAGATCTCAGGTTTAAATTACAAATGTACTCTTCTACTCAAAAACAGAAAGCAGTTCTGATGGCAGGAAATGAATGAAGTTTAATCAGAGGGGAGATCTGTGAGCTGTTCTCACCTTTCAGTATTAAGCCAAAATTTGTGCAAATCTTTGATGGTGTAGACAACCAGTATTTGTATGTGCACTCCTGTCTTAGTTGCTGACGGTAGTTTGGGATGTTGAAGTAAATGGTCACTGCGTGTTGAAGTTGACAGTATTACTGCCTTCAGTGAACTGAGTCACAGACAGTTCTTGTCATACAGATGTAGTTCACATCAGGAAAGAGGTCAAAGAGATGTGACTTGCAGAACATTGTGTGCGATTTTTATGTTTTGTTTTACCTCTTAACCATATCTTTTTGTCCTTCACAGCTTGCATGTCCAAGTACTCTGCAGGATGCATCTATTATTACCCATCTTTCCACCATAGCCATAATCCTGCTCAGGCTGAAAAGCTGCAGAAAGACCTTAAAAGATACCTTACCAGGAAGATAGGATTTGAGGCGGTTATGCGCATAAGATGTACAAAAGGTATATTACAATACTGTTACACATGAGAAAATTGATGTAAACATTTGAACTGTTATTTTGAATGTGCTTGTCTTTCACTGAAGAATAAGATATTTGCAACTTTTGCAGCAGCTGTTACATTAGCATTTTCCATTTGGTTAACAGGGGTTTTTTTGTTTTTTCTCTTTGTTTAGTTAAGATTGTACCATTTCAGTTTCAACTTGAAATGCATAGCGTAAGAGCAGTAGTCAGTTTGGAGTGTCAGAATTGAACACAAAATCTACAGAATGACTCAGAAATGTCTAATGATTTGTGTAATAATTGATTTTGCTTAGTATTTGGGATAAATATTTTTAGTATATATTTCCATATTTTTAAAGACTGAGTACTGTGGGCTTTAAATATTTACCAGAATTTTTCACGCTGTTAACCGTACTGTCTGAATTATTTGATCTACTTGTAGGTCTTTCAATACACACTTTTCATGGGAACTTTTTCGTCCGATCTACTGACTTACTGTCTCTCGCCAATGTCAATCCTGATGCTGGGTTTGCAGTACAAATGTCCATTGAGGAGAGTCTGACTGACACATCCTTAGCTTGTTTTCAAACAGCTCTGTTGTACACTTCTAGCAAAGGTAATGAGATTCAAATGAATTGGCCGCTGTTTGTGCTTGTTTTGTTTTTACTATAATGTTTGTACAGCTAGTTGTGCATAGTTCTTTGTTTATCTTCATAGCCTAGGGGAATCTTGTCAAAGTTAGGGAGCCTGCTTGGCAGTTAGTCACATTTACTAAATCTTCACCAACACTGTTTTGCTGGAGGTTGGTAATTCATCTCCAGTTTACATAAAGCAGTCTTGCTGAACAACTTTATTTAAAAGACATACTACTGTTTTAAGCAGTAACATATTTGACATTTCATGTGGAATCAGAGCTAGGAGGGTGATGGACTTGAGCCAGATTCTAGTATTTTGAGCGGGCATAAAGAATAGCAGCCACTTACTGTTGTGGAAGATGTCTTTCCAAAATTTTGGAATGGAAAGCTACATACTTTGTAAGATCAAAACACTGTTTACTGCTTTGTTATGAACTGTGTTGACTCATAAGCTAAATACTTGAGAGCATTTCTGAATTAAAGACAGGGATAGGAGATGATAATATAGCAAATTCTCTGACTAATATATATATATTTTTTTTTACAAAGAGCTTGTATCTCAGATGAGAGATGTGCTCTCCTGTTATATATCATCTGCTGCCAATAGATACTTTGTGATGATTCCTCCTTTTTTTTTGTAGGTGAACGTCGAATTCGAGTGCACACACTTTGCTTGCCTGTAGTAAATTCACTGACTGATGTGTATGCAGGAGCTGATGTACAAGCGGTTGTATGCCTCTTAGCAAACATGGGTGAGTAAAAGTCAGAAAGATTAAAATATCTTTTCTCATGTTCTCACAGAATCACAGAATGGCCAGGGTTGCAAGGATCATGAATCTCCAACCCCCTGCCACATACAGGGCCGCCAACCACCCCATTTAATGCTAGACCAGGCTGCCCAGGGCCCCATCCAATCTGGCCTTGAAAACTCCAGGGACGGGGCATCCACAACCTCTCTGGGCAGCCTGTTCCAGTACCTCTCCACTCTCTCTGTAAAGAATTTCCCCCTGATGTCCAACCTAAATCTCCTCTCCCTCAGCTTAAAACCATTTCCCCTCGTCCTGCAGTTATCCACTCTTTCAAAGAGTTGATTCCCCTCCCCTCTGTAGGCTCCCTTTAGGTATTGAAATGCTGCAGTGCGGTCACCCTACAGCCTTCTTTTCTCCAGGCTGAACAAGCCCAGCTCCCTCAGCCTGTCTTCACAGGGGAGGTGCTCCAGTCCCCTGATCATCTTTGTGGCCCTCCTCTGGACCCTCTCCAAAAGCTCCCTGTCTTTCTTGTTCTGGGGGCTCCACGCTTGGACACAGTGTTCCAGATGGGGCCCCACAAGAGCAGAGTAGAGGGGGACAATCACTTCCCTGCCCATGCTGGCCACCCCTCTTTTGATGGAGCCCAGGATCCCATTTGCCTTCCGAGCCGCAAGGGCACGCTGCTGGCTCATGTTAAGTTTTTTATCTGTCAAGACCCCCAGGTCCTTCTCCACAGGGCTGCTCTCAAGGACCGCTCCTTCCAGTCTGTAAGGATGCCTGGGATTCCTCCGTCCCAAGTGCAAAACTCTGCACTTTGCCGTGTTGAACCTCATCAGGTTCACCCAGGCCCACCTTTCTAGCCTCTCGAGGTCCCTCTGAATGGCATCCCTTCCTTCAACCGTGTCGACCGCACCACTCAGCTTGGTGTCGTCAGCAGACTTGCTGAGGGTGCACTCGATTCCGTCATCAATGTCATTGATAAAGATGTTAAAGAGCACCGGTCCCAAGACAGACCCCTGGGAGACGCTGCTCTTTACTGGCCTCCACCTGGACATAGAGGCATTGATGACCACCCTCTGTCTGCAGCCTTTTGACCAGTTTCTTATCCATAGAGTGGTTCACCCATGAAATCCACATCCCTCCAGTTTGGAGATAAGGATGTGGTGGGGGACCGTCTCAAAGGCCTTGCTCAAGTCCA